CCACATCACTCCTGTTCTTCAGCAGCTTCACTGGCATCACCAGAACCCCCTCCATTAACCACATCACTCCTGTTCTTCAGCAGCTTCACTGGCTCCCCGTCAAATCCCGTATCGTTTTTAAGATTCTGCTCCTCGCCTTTAAGGCCATCCATAACCTCACTCCTCTGTACCTCTCCGACCTCCTGCACATCAACACACCGATCTCTCAGGTCTTCTGCTTCCCTCAGCCTCACTGCACCCCCCTTCCGTTTAACCACCATGGGGTCTAGAGCCTTCAGCCGCTCTGCACCCCGCCTCTGGAACTCCCTCCCACCTGACATCCGCAACACTGACTCTCTCCCCATTTTCAAATCACGCCTCAAAACATATCTCTTCACACTCGCACATCCACCCTGATCATTATCCATCACACATCCTCTGTTTTTATTGATTTGGTTATTTGATTGATTTATATACTGCATTGTCTTGTTTATGTCTCTTATGCTGGTGTTATGTATTGTGTATCTTGTTTTTTATGTGTTTGTACGGCGACCTTGAGAGCCTTGAAAGGCGCCTATATAAAATAAATGAATTATTATTATTAGTTTGAGTGCAGGCTCTACACTGTAGCGATGTGTTTGTCCGACTATACACGTTTGGTTTCACAATATCTGTTCTTATCTGATTTCTTCTCAAATATTTTGTCAAATAAATACTTTCAGAACCAAAAAGCTCATTGTAATATCTGTCTCTGGTTAAATAAGAAAACAACACTTCAGACGAGAGATGAGTCACCTCACCTGATTACTGGGCAGAGGGCAGAGGATCAAGTTTGCATCTCAACGCTCCAATTAGGTGTAATCAGCCTTATTATTCATATCGCTTTTGATGCCAATGAATAAGTGATCTGACAGAATCCATGGCAGGCAGCGCTTCATATTTAACCCTGAAAGGATGCATGCGTTAAGATTTACAACATGTTGACTGAAGGATATTTCCGACCGCTGCAGCAGGACATTAATACGTGAGCTTCTTGCAGCTCCATGTGTTGATTTATAGCCAACAGTTTTCAACATTTATTGCTCAGACTATAATCTGTCAAATTCTACCTGGCGTACACCTGACATGACTGAAGGGAAGGAAACACCTTTTTAAGACAAGTATTGCTTGGTTGTTCTTATATTGACGTGTATTGCCATATTTATCGAGAGGTGTTATTTTTAAGCCCAGCATCTCCTTGGATGTCTGTTTTTCTTTTCCTTCACTATCTGTCAACAAGAGAAATCCCTCAGAGGACCTGCGGACCTCCAGCTTTATTTCCAGCTGTATATTGGCTTATCTCACTCTAAAAAAATAACTTATATGTCACAATATGTGCAGTTATATATACAGACCAACCTCTATCTATCCCCAGTTTGAAGTCTTATTCAGTGACGCATGAGGTTAATGTTAAAGGGTATTGTGTTGGTAAATTACACCAAGCTTTTTCACACAAAAGGAGAAAAGTTAATGATGCAAGATGATTATGGAGTAACTAGGAGTTGGAGCGCATGGAGTCAAATCAGTCATGCTTTATGGGGATGGATGAATGGCAGAGCAGAGGGGGGCTTTAGGGTACAGAGCGTATATGAATTGGCATTTCATTGTTGGGAATTCAAAGGAATAGAATAGTTCTCACCAGGAGCCCTTTATACACCATGCCTGCATCCATGTATCCAATCATGAATGTATTGCTGCAGCACCAGTATGGGCAGTCGCTATAGAAACCTTTTTAAAGAATTCGAATCATTTGGATTTTAATTGCTCTACTTGCATTACATAATTCATATCCATTCATACTTCGAAGCAATTAGTCAAGTTAAACATTACAGATTTCAATAATGAGGTTCTTTTTTATACTAATATACAGTACTCAGCAACCTGTTCCTGTTTTTGTTTTCTTCAGCCTTTATTATTACTTTTTGTTTTGTTACTTCCCATTGTAAAGCGTCCTTGGGTTTCGTGAAAGGCGCTATATAAATTGAAATTATTATTATTATTATTATTATAAAGGGGCTCTTGCTTTTTGGGTTTCTCATTTCCTGTAGTGTGTTATATTACGTTTTAGTGCATGTAAATGGTCTGCAAAGGATTACATTCCTCGCCTGATGCTGGCCTACTGTATTGATTGTAACCATGGTAATCCCAGTACATACCACAGGTAATTTACACATTGTAGATAAACTATGTGCACCTCTGTCAGAAGTGAGATTGTTCCTATCCCCTCCAGCGCAGCAGCATGCTTTAACTGACAGCTCTTGATACAATCTCGGTCCAGACACGGTTGCCAGGGGCTACACTCCCCGCATCCGTACAGTTTCCATGGAAATAGTGAGTTCGGCTTTCCCGCCTGCAGATGGCAACGCTGCACTTTAAATCAGAGATGAAAAGGGGGGAGATGACGACAGCGAGCAAATCAGTGTTTGGCTCTGATGCCTCATAAAGAGCAGGGTGAAGGCTTGGTGTCATGTTTGGCATGTTCACCCTGACTTCACCTTTTCTCCTCTGGGTGCCGCAGTTATTTTCACTTGCACTACAAAGCAGGCTGAGTGAGGCTCCCTGAGTTACTGTCTGCATGCCAATCTTCGTGCTGCTCAATTCTTCATGCTCATTTTTACACGATTCGACAAGGCAACGTTTGCATTTCTGGCTATATCTCAAAAGACAAAGAGAGAACGTATTAAAAGGCTGGGATTTGCGCAATCCTGTTTTCCAATGAGAAACTGTGAATGTGTTTGAGTGTGCAGCTGTTATGGCTCATGAAAGACGTGTGTTGGCACATCATCAGCTGTGACAGTGTAAAACCCTGGGATCTTCTTTGGTGGCCTGAGTGTGCAGAGCTAACCACTTCCACTGTGGTTAGGATTGTTTTATTTCCTTTTTTTCTGCTGCATGCACGTTTTTTTTCGAAACACACACACACCTCATTAGATTTGGCAGACGTGGGAAAAAGAAACCAGATGAGGCTGACAGTTGGACTACACACCCACACACACACACACTTATTTGTCCGGGGCTGATCAGAAGCGTGTGTTTCCCATCACCCTGCTTTGAAATGTCATTGCATCAATCATCAGTTTGGACCGATTGGACAGGCTTTTCTCCCTTCTGTCTGGAAAAAGATTGGGGAGGTCATTGGAGGTCGAAATCACTTGCTGCTGCCACTGCTTGCAGTATTTCTCACCTGGGTGGGAAATTCTTCAAACTACAGCTGCTTCAAAATGAAACAAAAAAAACGGACAGGGGAAAAAAAATGCACTTTTAGTCATCTGTGAGTTATGGTATCACTCCCCTCTCTGTCATGACAACACATGCACACAATCAGATGTATTGCATCATGCCATGCGGCTGTAATCAATGCAAACCACTTATATTGGGATGCAATCTATGCAATGTGTGAAATACGGTCAGATGTCTGGTTTATTTAGCTCTAAGATCCGGTTTGATGCTTTTCCACTGATCTTTCAGCACACCGTGTTCCATAGTCTGGAGTTAAACAAGGACACTGTGTCTGAGAAATAATTTAATACGACCTTAAATGCGGATTATTGCACCAAAAGAGTGGCGTTTATAAATAGAAATCAACAGAGATTAAAGTCAGTTTAATGTTATATTGTAGCAGAAAAGCTATTATTCTGTACGAACATGTGTCATTTGAGAGATGTCTTCCCTACATTCCGCTACAATTTAAACCGTGGCACCTTAAGGTGCTGCACTCACTCCTTAGCAAGTGTCCAATAGACAATGGAGGCGTTCAAGAGCAGTCGGAAATATTTGATTAAGTCATTATCAGCTTGAACAATAGTAATACATCCGTTTTTTTTATTTTACTCAGAAATACTGATTGTTACAGATAAATAATATATGTTATTTTATATTTAGTCCTGCTACCGTTTAATATGTTTATTTTTAAATATTGTTGCACGTTTTCTCCGCTTTAGTCATATCTCACACTGCACTGTCGCTTTTATTCGTGTATTTTATACCTGTATTATTCTATATTAGCTTGTTTCTTGTCTATATTATTCTCTTTACTTTTTTAAGGCCATCTAAAAATGTGATTCTGCTGCATTATTTTGTAATGCTCTTAATGCTTTTCCTTTTTGTAAAGCACTTTGAATTGCCTTGTGTTGAAAGGTGCTACATAAATAAACGTGCCTTGCCTTACCTACATCTCAGTGGCTCATAAAGAATAATGACATTTTAACCCTGCCTTGCAGATAGATCATGGATAATACACACATATGAATGATAACGTTTCCCAGAGCAGTAGATGTCATCTTCAAAGTGCTCCAGGTCCCATTCAGTTGGTATTCAGTTAGGAATGATGTAGGCTAAAGTAATCAAACTCATAATCCTAATTGTTGTCAATTTATTGTGTGCCACGACTCATGGATTATTATAACTACCTCTGATTCCAGTTCGTTTTTAATTTCTCTCAATGTTGGCTACTACTTATGCAGGAATAGACATATATGAAACAAAAAAAAGACAAACGTCAGCATTTAACAAAAATCTAACAAGAGATAGAGTACTAGACAATGAAGCAATGTGCAATATAACAAACTTTTTAGCAATTGTACTGTGCAAAAATCACTTAAATGTCCCAACACTTTTATAATGTCTCACCACCTTAACATTTTACTTATGTCACTTTTTTTTAATTGCTGCTAGACATTTTTAGCCCTGGTTGTTTACTTATTTGTCTGTATTTTGATTATATTACTAATGTGCTCTTTTATTCTCCATATTTAATAAGTTAGCTAATTCTTTATTATTGATTGCCTGATTCTGATTATCACGGGGAATTCGTTGGCATCTCTCACTTCACTTATAGAAATAAATAAAAGCATAAACACAAGAGATAAAAGTACATTAGCTTAAAAGTGAAAAGTTTCGACATTCTAAATTCCGAGCCTCTCAGGAGCCCATGAAGGCAGCACAGTTGTGAGATCAGCTGATTTTTTACGCTGCCATTTTGTCCGGCAGCAGAGCAGCGAGCAGCAGTTCAGTTCGTAAAGAGAAACCACTGGAGAGACTTTTAGAGACAGAAACCCAGGACAGGACGGGGAGAGAAAAGGAAGCCGGTACCGTGGAGGAGTCTGTTGTTGGAGGACAACACCAACTCGACAGCGAAAGGGAAGAATCGAGCTAAAAGGAGCTGTCATTTTTAACTTTTAAATTAACGGCTCAACAGTCACTTCTTTGGCAGGTTAGCTTAACCTAGCTTCTCGGCTAACACCTCTTCCTCTTCTCCACCGGGAGAAACTGCACCTGTCCCGGCTGTCAGCCACACAGTCACCTGGTGTAAACTCAAAACAATGTGATGCTCCATTTTGAATGACTTTTCTCGCCCGGAGGAGGGTTTAACACACACTTTGCCAAGCGACAACCAGTGAGAGCTAACTAATCCAAGCTAACAAGTTGACGTGGAGGAGGAACTCAAAATCTTTTTTTTTTTTTTTTGGATCGTTGATCTCCAAGCTGTGATTTAATACGGATTACTTTTTTGTTGTTGTCTCCTAAACTATCTCTGAAAATTACAGATTTACAAAACCAGCCAGTTAGCTATGTTTATTTGTGGCCAGAAAGTAATTTCCAGTGTTTACAAATCCCACAGTGGGACTCTTTCCTGGTTCCAGTACTGCACTGGGAACATTAGCTAACACAGACTGGTGTGTTTACTAGATTAGATAGGACACAGTGTTGCCAAACAAGTTAAAAAGAATCTACAAATCATCTTGTAATTGCAGTTTTTTGTGTGATCTGACATTACTGCACACCTGAAACTAAAAAAACAGATTTAAAATATCCTGCAAATCATCTTGTTCTTGCAGTTTTGTGTGTGATTTGACATTACTGCACACCTGCAACTAAACACCAGTGTGTGTGTGTGTGTGTGATCGCAGCCCTTTACCTCCACTTGACAGTGAAGTCACGTGGAGTGGTTTTCCGCAGGGAGTTGATCCATTGATCGGATCGTTATTGTGCTATTTTAGCTGATTGAGGAAAGAAAAGGCAGAAGGATAGAGAGAGAGAGAGAGAGAGAGAGAGAGAGAGAGAGAGAGAGAGATGTCGGGCCAATCTATCACGGATCGGATCGCAGCAGCCCAGCACAGCATGACCGGCTCTGCCATCAGCAAGGCGGTGTGCAAAGCCACCACGCATGAAGTCAGTGGACCCAAGAAGAAACACCTTGACTGTGAGTATTTCAGTCAGCAAGGCGTCCAATGCAGACATACCACAGCAGGCTGACACACACATTCCTGCACACACACACTACCTGGCTTGTTGGACAGGCTGGGTTTGTATTTTATGCAAATGACCTTCTTTAGATGTAGCTCATACACTGTGTGGAATGAGGGGACACATTTGCTTCTTATCAATTATGTAAAGTGCCCAAAGTGATGTCATTCTTTTGTGGACCATCAGATACATCTCATTAACTACCCAATACAAACTCAAATGTATGAATAATGTGAATGAACCAATATATTTGTCTTACTTGGACACATTCCTTCACACACTACCTGGCTGGTTGGACAGGCTGGGTTTGTATTTTATGCAAATACCTTCTTTAGATTAACTGTGTGGAATAATGGTACACATTTGCTTCTTCTTATACATGTACATGTAAATGCCCTATTTGAGTTGCCTAAGCTCAAAGTCATGTCATTTATTTCGGGACAATCAGCCAAACCTCATTAACTACCCAATAAAAAAGGCTATTTATGAATAATGTGAACACATCAATATATTTTCCTTACTCATGGATGCTGTCTAGATAAATTCTTTAATCGTTTAATTTACAAAATGTCCAAAAATATTTGAAAAAATGTACATCCCAGTTCCTCAAAAACCGCCCGTCCACACGGCGGCGTGCGTTGACGCTTCACCATTCACTTTGAATGGGGTGACGTCACTTTTCGCCGAACTGCATTGTGGGAAGCGACGCGGAACTTTGCTGGCGTGGCTCGCCGCAAAAGTTGAGCAATGTTCAACTTTTGAAGCCTCGGCAGAAGCGTCAGCCAATCGAATCGTATGCCAGTACAAGCTCTAGCCAATCAAACCGCTGCTTGTGTGTCAGGGGCGGGAGATTCATGTGATTGGTTGTTGGTCGAGTTTCAGACACGCCCGCCGGCAAGCGTCAACGCACGCCGCTGTGTGGACGGGCCGTAACCCTAACCCTAAGAAGCCTAAGACGGAATTTATCGGCAAAAACAGGATAACAATTTATCAATGTTCGCAATTTCATATTTCCCTCACTTCATTTATAAGTCGACTAATCGTTGCAGCTCTTTTTCAGCTTCAACATTTTTATTACAAAAGAGTACAAAACAAACTTGCTTTACCTATATATACAAAGTGACGTGATGTCCATTTTGAAGCAGTGCTTGTGTAATGGATAAGGAATTTGATCTCGTGATTCAACGACAGCATATTGTGTTTTGGGGCCTGGCACAGTAACAAAAAGTCTTAAAACAGGTTCCAGTTGAACAGACGTCAAGGCGGGTCACGCAGAGATAACAACATAAGTGACATAATGAACAGGTCTTTCGTCACACCTGGGCTCACCTTTATATCCAAGTAGAGACAAAAGCAGAGCTGTAAAATCTCCGGGTTCATCACCTTTCCTTCCTCGGTGGGCGTCTGTTTATATTTCGAGGAAATCTCTTTAACATACCGCAAATTCCTGGAACTTATTCGCTGGTGTTATTTCTGTAGACTCCTGGTTGTCATTTCACATTTTGCTTTGCTGGTAGAGTGGATTAATTTCATGTTGAAGGTGACATGATGTGAGTGGGACACCAACAAAAGAATGAATGTTGGCATGCAGGTAGGAAACATTAAAAATAAGAGTCATCATTTTTAAGCTTGTGTTTGACATTACTAAGGACGACATGTGCTGAAGTTCTGTTTTCCGGGAACCAGCGTTTTTTTGTGTGGGCCGGGTTGCACATGTTTGATCGATGCTTCGGCTCAGCTGCCTCACATCCGTCAACTCCTCCTCCTCCGCTCGCTCAGCTGCTGACGTCCAACAAAAGTCATGTATTGTCTCCGCTCCCTTTTGTGAACTTGGCCAGATTCTTGCAGCCAATACGCCGCGTCAAGCTTAATCATTGCAGGATATTGATTTCTCTGTGAGAGCGACGACCTCGATGCCGTTGGGAAGGGGGGGGGGGCGGTCAGTGCTTCGTCGCATGAAGGCGTGATTGTCATGTTGTTTGTCCGGGTTGATGATTTCCCCGTGAAGGTAACATCCAGGGCTGTCAAGTTCATTGTGTAGTTGGGATCGTGACGGAGGGCGGGCGGGTGGGAATAAAAGGCAAGTTATACGGTGAGGTCGTCATTCACTTAGGCAGGAAGTCAATTTGTGAGGAGGCTGGCGGGCAGTGTTCGATCATCACTCAGGCAACCAGCTGATCCAAACATCCCATAATGTAATGAACACTGGCAGCCAGGTGAGATGGTTTGCCAGTCATTCAGTTGACCTTATTCCCACTTAAAGGAACACTCAAAGCCCGGAATGAGCGTTTGTCTATCAATAACTCAACCCTTGACTTCTGGAAGAACACTTGGTTTGTATCCCATAGTCCTCAGCGAATGAAACATCTAAACATTTTGATCAAAGGAAGTAAACGGACGGTCATTTTGTTCCCATTATCCACCAGTGTGTTGTATCAACGAGCGTATTTTTATATCACAGATGTCTTCAGTCTCTCCAGTGAACATATTTCTGCAGGCCAAAACCATTTTTGCCATTCAAGTAATTTAACCCAAATGTTTTTTTACTTACTTACTGTTCCTGCAACAACAAGCACAGTAGACTCAAGTGCATCAAACAGTTCTTAATCAATGACATATTGGATTTAAATGCTAGGTCTCCTGTGGGAAATCTTTTTTTTTTTAATTCTGGATAGATATAATACATCTTTGAAATACCTCTCCAAATTGTTAACATAATCAGTTCAAGTTGTTGTGGACAAAATGAACACTGACCTTCAGTTTTTGTTGTTGTTTATCTATAAAAAGGACCTTTTATGATGCAGATGTCCAACCAATCAGAACTTGTCATTTCAGTGTTGGTTGTATTAGGTATTTCAATCACTGTCATTTCTTTTACATCTGCACCTATGATGAGTTACCTTATAACTGCCATAGTCTGCAGCAGAAACAGTCAAAGGAGATGGAGAAGGGACATCTGATCACAACTAGTCGATCAATATGCATTTAACTTGCATTGAGAAACCAGGGCAGTCTTCTTCAACTGGAAATTATTGGCACATTGTTGGTACATCTGGTCACAAGATGCTACAGGTTTGAACTCCGTTTAGGGGGCAGTTGCCAACCAGCCAGCTATTGTGTAAGTCCATTGGTTGGTGAATAATACGCCAGTGGAGCCATTTTATAAATCGTAAAAGACAAACGTAGATCAACCTGTGAAGCTTTGACTCTAGAAACCAAAGTTATTGTTGAACTCTTTGTCCGTTTGTCTATCTTTCACACAGTTCACCTACACACAAACACACAACCATCTTTTTCTATTGCTCTTCCCTTGGCACGATCTTACCACAAGCAGCTGTGACTGTCTGACAGCAAGCTGTGAATGATCTCACCGGCATATTTGCATCTACTGTAGACCCAAAAGCTGAGTAACCCGGACAGAAGCCTTTCACAGCATGCAGGGGTTTGGGGGTCCGATTTTAGCATGAACAGCCATGACATTCACGCACCACCGGCAAAAATAAGTGCTGTTTTAACGCCATTTAGTGTCATGACTCAGACTGTCCACCTCAATTAACCCCCAGCCTGTGAGTAGGCGGCAAAAATCCCATCAGTTTTGAATAGCTCTTTCATTTATGGAAGTTATCGTCATAAAAATCAATGAGCGACGGCTCAAATGTGTCAGAATACGTCTGCAGTTTTCATATCCTCAAGGTGAGTGTTATTGTGTTTTTATAAGCCGAATACTGTCTCACACACACACTCTTCGGAGGCCACTTCTTTCCACTTTGGCATCATTGAAACGCTGAATGTTTCACCGTCTTACCGCTGTTAGGAGAGAAGTTGTGACATTTAAATTGACGGCTAGTTTCCCTCCACCGGCACTCTGTTGTCATGGCAGCAAACCAGCCAACTGGCTTGTGTTAAATGGACTTTAGTTGACGGGGGAAGTTGGATGGCGAAATCGGCTTCTTATAGTCCTGTTTTTTCCACCGTTGTTTATGCGGGTGTGTTTTTCTTCGAAGTAGTGAATAAGATCTAATGAAGCTTCCAAGTAATTCAGATAATGGCATTTCTAATAATCGTAATGAAAAGCCACTAGAAGAATCCTTCCCTCGCCATTTATCTGAATTACTGGTCGGGAAGTTTCCACAGCACTTGACCTCTGTGAGCAATTCACACTTCGACTCCACATGAAAGACACTTGCTAGTCGTAATGTGAGAGACATAGGAGTCACAAAGGGAGGTGTGAAGGAGGTGATGTAAGTGGTTGCTAAAGTGATGCTGCAGTCCCAAACCGGCTTTTGTTCAGAGGCGTTTCTTTCTGCGTGATGTACAGTTGATGGCCTTCTTCACGCCTCCTCTAAACCATCTGGGTTCTCCGTCCGAAATGTTCCATTTGACAGGATTTAAACGTCCTCGCAACACTATAAATGTCACTTTTCTCCTCCATTTTGTACCTTCTTGCCCCTTACTACAGTGACAGGCTTTTTAACCGCACCTTTTTGTTAGGCCAAAAATACTTTCTTTCTGACATGGTTGGATTACACTTTGTACGCACTTGCAACCTTGTAGAAAGCAGGGTAGATGGCAACATTTCAGACCAACTTAAAGACTCCCCCCAGATGTTTTTCCTTCAGCTGACCTTCCCTTTCGATCTCTCGGAGGTTAGTAACGGGTGAAAAGGGAATTTCCCTATCAAAATGATAGCCTACTGTTTATTGTGTTTTTAGCAGCAGTCCTTGTTGCCACTGTTGTTGCCAGTATTACAGGGAAACATTTTGTTGCCAGGAAATTGCTGTGTTGTTGGCTGTTGCTATGTTTAGTCCATGTCCACCATCACTTGGTGGACTGTTTATTTCTTAGGTAGCAACAACGTTAGAAGCTAAATGGTCAGAAAAACTCAATTGAATGTGGACGCAGATATTTGACTTGCGTATGATTAGATTAATACTACAATAATTGTCTGTCATGTCA